CTCCTACTGACATTACAGTTCCATATATACACCAGCATACCCACTCCCTTTTTTATTATCTGCACAAAATAAAAAACTACATGTGCCCGTTTGAAAAGTCCCAATAGAAATCCCAAATGAAACCTCTGTCATTCAGAGCCAGTGTCTGTGTCTGATCCCATTGTTTCTGGACTCTCAGCATTTCCTGTACCAGTCCTGATCTTTGTCTTCCCTCTCTTTCTGGGTCACCAAGAAATTCAGAATCAGAGATTTGTACTTCAGAGATCTCTCTATGAGGGGACAAGGCTCATCCCAAGAGGGACCTGAGTATTCTAGGCACACTTATCTCAAAGGTAAAGGAAAACATAATGCAACCCTTACTTTCTGACTCCTTTCATATTTATGCCAAAGGCAGGTAGAGTCCACACTAACTCCTATCTTTCCAATTCAAAACCTTGAGGACAATCTTTCATGAAAAACAGCCAAGACATATTGGTAAACTGTGAAAGCATAGGTTTGAAAAATAAACCTGTGGTAATCAAACATTCTGAAAATCAAAAATGCTTCCATGATCCTTGTGTTTCCACAAATAGAAACTGTAAAAAGAACACAAAAAAGCTCTGTGTCATGTTGAATGGAAATGCCCAAAGTTTCCTAATCCAGCTAGTCCATGAATTTCTGAGAAGGGATTGGTGGATCTGACATGGAGAGAGAGGGGGAGGTGGGTGGACTCCCTGCAGGCTGAGGAGATGAGGAAGCCTGTCCTATGGAAACCTTCTCAGAGAATGTCCCTCTTTCTTCTGAGCTCCCAGCAGGAGTCCCTTGTGCTCCTTGATCCTCCACGCACGGAGGCAGCTTTCATCCACTAGAAAGACCCATCTCAGGTGGATGACATTAGGAACTGCAAAAGTTTTCATCCAATACCCCTGACACTCAAGTCTACCTGGGCTCTCCTCTACTTGCAGAGTCATCAGTGTCATTTGGGCCAATGCAAAGTTGAACAACAATTTGACTCCAGCACACGTGTTGGCTCTGGAGCCTTCCTGTGCTGTCCTATTCATAGATCTGCATGCTGAGTGGGATGCAAGCCCACAGGATCCGTGCTCTCCACCAGCCTGGCCATATCATGCATCCCGGCCTGCATTGGCTGCCACCTTCCACCCATCTCAGCATTATTTATCTTAACCTAACCTCTGTGTATGTGCTCAACTGTGTCCTGTGGGGATTCTCTTCTATCCTGCATGCCAAGAATACCATGGGTCCTGAGTCAACTCCCCCTTCTCCCTGGGAAGGGTTCCGACCTATAACAATTGGGTTTCCCAAATGGGGACCTTTGGAGGCACTGAATTGGGTCCATAGACACAAAAACTTTCCTTTAGCCATGACTAGGATGCATTCTGTTCTCTCCTTCATTGACTGAGGGGCTCTGGGGCTCAGACCAAGCAGAGCTGCATTCACCTAGCAGGTGTTTCCCATATTCCACAGCCCAGAGCCACCCATAGAAAGACTCTTCCAAGCAGACAGTTTCTCTCTAGCAGCCCAAAGTGGATTGAAAGAGACTGTTGCTTAAGTGTCCATGTGCCCAGGGTCACTCATTGAAACTTGCATGTAGAGAAGAACCCAAGAGGACTTGAGCATCAGCTGCATTTAATGGAGAAGAACTGGGCTAAGTAAAATCATCCTCAGGAGACTGCTCTCACCTGTGGAGGGAAGCTGCCTCCTGGTCTCCAACATCAATGACTAGTGGAATTTCCTGCCTGACCTCAAGTGGAAGAGAGACACTTCCCCTTCTGAGATGGTTTCCAAAGAGGGAATTTTCCATATACTCACGTGAGCAGTAGTCCACCCAGCACACCCACTCCCTTGGTGTCAGATCCACAATACCTTCTGAGAACTTAAGGAGATGAGAAAGATTTGGGTGTGGCCAGTTCACAGCCTGGAGTATTGAAGGGGGCCTGTTTTCCAAAGACTCTTTGTGAACACCAGAAGTAATGAAGCAGATTCATTACAAGGATGGTTCAAGTATATTTAGGGAGGTCCAGTTGCTTCATAAACTTTCAAGTAGGGCAGCAGGCAAGCGGTAATGGGATGCACTTGGATCTCCTCTCACCAAACAAACAAACAAAAATAACTCCAGAAAAAGAATTCTAGCTGCTTAAGTGTGAGCATGCGTTTGTGTGTGGGGGATGCGGTGGTGATGGGTGTTCCTGTGTGAGTGAGTGTGTTTGTGGACATGTTCATGTGCACTTTCCTATGCATGTGTCTGTGTGTTCATATGTACTTTCAGTTATGAATGGAGCCTTCTAATATTACAGGATAACAATGCATTGAGTTGGTATTCCTTCAAAACGATTCATGAAAAACAAACATTTTCATTCTTTCTTCAATTCCATTATTTTGACTTCTTTCCTGATAGATTTTCATAATGGTTTTGAACTGGGAAAATGTAGCTACGTTAGAATTGATTCTACCCATTATTTCAAGAACTATGAAAAGATGGGGCTGGGGTTGTTGCTCAGTTAAAGAGCTTTGGCCTCACACCCATGAGTGAGTGTGTTTTGATTCTAAACCCTGCACATACATATGCATAAACAAAAGGTCCATGAACAAGTAAAAATATTTAACAACAAAAAAGGAAAACCTCTAAAGGGACTGTGGAGTAGAGGCTGCACTCACTTTTCTGTGATATTGGAGATGAGCAAAGCTACTGAGGTACCAGGTGTTCTGAACTGTGTACCCATAGGCCTGTGTATTGAGAAGTGCAAATCTGTGTGCACAAAATCCATGGTGACCTACAAAGGAAGCGACACCAGCACAAGAGCCCTGGCAGAGTGCTGGAAAATCCTGCTGGTCTGGGACCCTTGAGACTTACACAGGTGTATTTCTCCTCTGCAGCAACATTGCAGGATTGGCCCAGGTGAGGGCCTGAGGGGATTCCCTGGGGGTGGGGCCAGGGAGCTGAAGCCAGAAACACCCTTTTCCTCCAAGGGAGCTCAGAAGCCCACCAGATTTGGATGAGAAACCAGGGACATCAGCCCTCAGCAGCAGGCTCTCCTTCAGCCCTGTGGTCATTCTGGGCACTTGCATGTCCACAAATGTCATTCCAAACCCAGCAGAAAAAGAAATACTCTTCCAATGAAAGTGTAGAGTCAATGCAATGCAGAGCTCATATAAGTCACATGAAGTATGAAAGCATTGGGCAGCATTTCTTTGAATTCTGGAATCCTTATGTTAAAATGGCAGAGTTGAAAAAAAAATTGATACCCCAGAGAGCCAAACTTGTAAAAACGCCAAGGCCCTTAGGTCCACTGGCCTCTGACCTCTTCCCAGCACCTCAATGTCATTCAAACTATGGATTTCAAACCTCTGTAAAGGAAAGTACTGACTCGAAAAGGCTGGCAAATCTTCTTCCTGGGTAGAGTCATGGAAATCAAAGGTGCGAGTCACTGAATTTTGGCCTAAAATTGCACCTGTTGTATTGAAGATGACGTGTTGCATCACGTGATCCTGGGGGAGGATCCAAGTTCCCAGAAGCCACCTTCCCTCACTGCCCCTTCTGGCTGGCATCCAGGACGTTGCATCTCTTCCCGGGCTCTGTGTCCAGCCCTCACCTGTCTGAGCGCCTGCTGACAGGAGACAGCAGAACAGTGGGGTCTCAGGTTGGTTTTCTTTGCCCAGGTAGTTTACAGAAGATTCCTTAGAAGACATGTAGATGGGGAAAATGTTAAGGATGGAGGGGGAGGTGCTTGTGGATTTAAGATTTTTCAAGAGTGTTTCTTTATGCTGAGGAGGATCAAATATGTCATTCGAGGTTCAAATCACCACAGAACTATTGCAATTTCAGAGAATATTTACTGCAGCCTTCTGATACCTGTGAGCAGGTGGATCAATGTGTATGAAAACTGCTGTAGTTTACCATGGACCTTTGGGTAGGATAGGGACTACCTCCGATGGATAGAGCAATGTTATTCCCTGTGCTATTTCCACACAGGCACATAGAAGTCCTGGGTCATCCTCACCCAGCCTTCCTCTACCCATTTTCCCCTCTCTTCTGACCTGCTCTTGCATTCCCTCCCCCCACCCACCTGTCGATTTCCCCCTTCCCCCTTTACGGTAGCTTCTCCCCTTAGTATCCACACCTAGCAACAAACACTGGTTTGGCATGTCTAGCACAGGATGTACACTGGTTCCATCCATAGCTTGTTTGGAAAATGTCATAATGTCATTCTTCTCTGCCGCTCAATAGCTATCATTGTCTTGCTCTGTTTTTCTTATATCATGTTATGGTAGAGAATCATCGTGACCCCACACCATGCCTTGGGGATGATTTTTTTCCCTTTCTTTCTGTAGAAGAGTTTAAGAAACCTTTCTCTAGAACTTTTTGAAGGCTGGGTTGGGTGAAATTCAACATTGAACCCCCCACATCCTCAGCTTCTCTATATGGTTACATTCATAACCACTGAACCAATGCTGAGCTTGCTCTCTGTATCATTAATTTGGAAATATTTTTCAAGGTCAATCTGCTTCAGTCAGATATGCAAGGACATTCTTGGATATCTACTAGCATTTCTAGCTCATGACTTCTGACTTTGTCAAGAATAACTCTGGATAATCATGCTCTGCAAATCTCTGTATTAAGATGAAATTTCTTTTGATCTCTCTTTGTATGAACTAGGTTTACCTCCCTTCACCTTTCCTCTTTTCGTTATCATTTTGATAGAGGCAAAATTGTTCCCTTTGGTTAAGATTGCTTTATTGTACCTACAGGAATCATGCATTCACTCTGCTGTAATTCTAAGAGCATGGAGTATCTTATTTTTGTCAAACGCAGTAGTTGGCCTACTCCTCCCTTGATTGTGCACCCATGTGTGCTCCACCTATTCTACTGGGCTCCCCAGATCATGGGATGTGCTCCATGCCAAAATGTGGAGAATAAATGAAAGATCCCATCTTGACTTTGGTCATGACCCTTTTTTCTTTTCTCTTGGACGTAGGAAAGCCCAATGTCAGCATCTGAGGGAATGGGACCTGACTTGAAGAACATGAGACAGTCGGCAGAGCATGCCTCACAGCCTCTGGCCCCGAGCCTCCTTCAAATCCAGAATAAGAAGCACCAGCAGAGGGGAGCTGTGGGGCATAGGGCTCCTCCCCCTGAAGAGGAGGACCCCAGGGTATGTGGACATTGGAGGCAATGGGAAGCCAGGGGGTGACACAGGTCAGAATCTTGGTTACGTCCTCTCAGATTGCCTCTACCACCCAATTCTCCCATTCCAACCCACGAGGACCTGCCCGGGAACCTCCTCTCAGCTTAGTCCTTTCCTAGGATGGGAGGAGGCATCTTATGGAACCCCTTGAAACCCATGCAGCCCAACGTTTATCCTGTTGGAATCTGGCCCAGCGTCCTCAAGTTGCAACATCCAAACCTTCCTTCCAGTGCCCCCGTATAATACATGATTCCACAAATGTGTTCTAGGACCTTAAAAATCCTAGAAATTCATGGTTCACAGGCCTGAGTGCCTGACCTAAAATGAGAGGAAACTAAGACTTCAATCTCTCTTTGTCTGTACAAGGGCAGATCTGGTTGTGGTTGCGCTGATTCCTGACAACTTGTGCTTTTCCACCGACAGCTGAAGTGTAAGGACTGTGGGGCTTTTGGACACACTGCGAGGAGCAGAAGATGCCCCATCAAGTGCTGGAATGGTGCGCTGGCCCCACAACCCTTGGGCCCAAAGAAGGAGAAGGAGAACCAGGCACCAAGCAAGCCTAGGAATCTCCAGAACACAGGGGCCTGTGAGCAGCCAGCCAGAATGAAGGGCCAGGTGCAGAGGTGAGGGATGGGGAAGCTGGGATCCAAGCCTCGGGCACGGAACTCCAGGGGGGGTGGTGTCTCTCCTTCTCCACATAGTCATCTCCACACATTCACATGCAGCTAATGACTGGGTCAATGGAGAGAGATAGACAAGGACTCCATGTCCCAAAGCCGCAGCCTGCAGCTCATTCTCCTGTGCATTCAATTCAGAAAGGGACAGGTTCAGGGCAGCACTAGGAACATGACCACGGGAGGCACAAAAGCAATGTGTCCACATGGAACTACTTAGTGGGAAAGGAGAAGGGCTGCCTGGATGTAGGGCCTGGGTGTTGTAGGAGGAGAGGCACAGACTTGGGGGAGAACCCAGGGTAGCACAGGTGACACGAAGAAAATGGGCACCTCTCATTTCGCTCCCTCCTCTGCATTCATCCAAATACCATCGTGTTTCTGCAGGCAAGAAGGGGAACGGGGAAAGGCTCTACTCCAGACAGGGAGTTCCCATAGGAGACCCCAGGAGAGGCAGCAACCCAAATGGAAGGAAGAGACAGAACCCAGTGCCTACCTAAGGGTGAGTATGTGCATGGTGGCCTGCTCTTTTGGTGTCCTGGAGAAGCCTGATAAGTTCCTTCTCTGTGGCCCTTCTGCCTGAGGGATTGGCTATCAACATTCAAGCCCAATGGGACTCAAGCTTGGGGTCTTTCACATTTGCTCTTTAACAATTTTGTGTGGTACTTTTTTCATCTTCCCCATGACGTGGTGCATGGGCCCATGGGGGCAGAGTTGACTCCAACGTCTCAAAGGACACAATGTCCGATGCAGGCATATTCCTATTGAAAGGGGGAGAACACTCTCAGCTTCTGTAGGCCAACTCCTCAGTGGCCACATCTGCTGAGAGGAGCAGTAGCCATTGACATCCCACGGAAAAACACACAAAAGAGCCCTGCCCATCTCGAGGCATGAGACCTCCGATGAAGAACGGGATATTTCCCAATGTGCCCTGAAACATGTCAAGTCGTTCTTGGAATGGGTCTTTGGCTGATGGCCATGGAGGTGGAGGTGGAGCATCCCTTTTCCTTTCCTGGGCTGATGACTTGTCTTCCTGTTCCACTCTATGTTCTGTAGCCGAATTCCTGTTTAGGTGGGCCTTGTTGGTGCTTGAGTGCAGGGACTCAGGAAAGTTTCCTGTGTTTGTCTTTTCCTCCAGAAACCCAGCAGGCCACTGCCCGTCCACACGACAAGGACGAGGTGTGTCCCGGGCTCTGGGTTTGAGAGTCAGCCTTGTGTCCAGAGCTCGGATGAGAGTCTCATCTTCACTAGCGCACATCCCTTTCAGAGACCCAAACGTGGACTCCACTCAGGTCCCGGGATCCAGAAAACACAGGATGTGAGCATCCCTGGCACCATCCAGCTGGCAGCAAGGCACTCAGGGCAGAACCCTGGCCTCCTTGGGAAGAAAGCACCTGAAACACCAGAGGTTGTCTCCTCTAAAGTTGCCCAGACTTCTGCCCAAATTCTCGGAGGGGGCCATGTGCTCCACCCTCCATCACTAGCCAGGTGTCCTGATGTGAGCAAAGAGCCCTGCCTGCAGCCTGCAGCATGTCCACAGGGCCAGGGCCACAAACTCAGCCTCCAGGCCCCAGGCAAGAGACAAGCTCAGGTCCACATCCAGACTGGCCAGAACGCCCCAAAGAAACTCAGGCTGGGGCACAGTCTCATTCCACGGGGGAACACCTGCAGGCCAGGCTCGGAGGCTAGGAAGTCTCTGCCTGCTTGGCAAGATACAAGTGGTATCGGACTAAAAGGGTCACCCCAGGTGACCAGAAAATCTCCAGCCCATGATTCCAGCATGGATCTTCGCCCTCCCAAGGAAAGCCCTTTCCTGAATCCAGTCGAGCCGTGCACCAAATCGAGTCCACCAGCACCCAGCTGTGTTCCCCGACAGCCCCTCCGAATGCTCTTCAAGAGAATGCACAAGAACTGCTGGAGATCCAGGTTCATTGCCGATCTCCCTTCCTCTCCCACTGCAAAGACCAGTGCTCTTGCTGACACTCCTCCCTATCTTGATGAGTCGGAGATTCCCAGCTCCCATGAGCCAGTGAGTGTCCTCTATGAAGACCTTCAGGTGTCGTCCTCCTCTGAGGACAGTGACATGGAGTGAGGCACACCATAGCAGGGAACAATAGCCTTTGGGGCTCCAATGACTTACAGGGTCTCTTGGGCTGAGAAAGCAAAGATGCAGGAGCAGGTGGCACCAGGGTCACAGGACCTTCCTAGCTATGGAGTAGGAGCAAAGGCTGAAACTTCAGAAAGCTCTGGCACAGCCACAGACCCTGCCTCTGACGCACAGCCACCTGTCCAGAACTCAGAGGAGAGACTCCTCTGGATGGGGTTTCCAGGGGATTGTCCAAGGTGCTCATGTCACCTTCCACAGGCTGTCTATGGGATAACAAATGGAGTGGCTATTCAGGTGTAGAGACTGAAGTGGAACAGAAGTAGAAGGCTCAAGTTTGTCCCTTTTGTCCTATGACCGCATGGAGTGTAACACCTGCTGATCACTGGGACCTCTGTCCTGGACTGCAGTGGACCTTCTTGACTCTCGAGTGTCGCCATGGAAAGCATGGTGGACAATTTCCCTGGCCTTACCTTTTTTGTTCCTTGCCCCTTATGATAATCATGTACTTGACGTTTCTCTGAATCCTCATCCAATTTTCCCCATGTTTTACTGTGTGCATCCTTGGAGTGCTCAATAGGCATGTGCCTTTGTACCTTGTCTCTCCTGCAAACTGCATTCATTGTGTCCTGGTGCTCAATTGTAATGACTTGGACAACCCAAATGTCTCAGGTGATGTCCACATGGCAATTAAGATCATTCATTTGTTGTAGTTCAGGATATCACTGGATTTCCCATACTACCATAATAAATGGGTGAAATTGTTCCCAGATCAAAGAACTCACTTGTGATTTGAAGGCATGAACATTGGGGCTTCTCAACTCTCTCTCTGGGTGCCCCTAACTGTGAGCAGTTGTGGAACCACTGCAGCTGGTGGAAGGAGCTCTTGTCCTATGTCTGGGAACATGTGTGTCCAGGGTCCAGAATGACTCTGTGGCATTTTAGCCAAGATTTATCAACTGGACACTCCCTTCTCCCGATGGCACTGACATGGCTGTCCCTATTCAGAGACAGAGTGTGGGGTGATGTGGATTCTGATCACAGGCAGGTGATTTCACAGGGAAACAGGGAGGAGAAACATGGAGCTCCTCAATTTGAGTTTGGAGCCTGAAAGAATGGAGATGTGTGAACACTGATGTCGGGGCAAGGTAGCTCTTGAGATGCATTCCATATTCAGATTTGATTTTTCCCTCAGGGTAAGCTTTCCTGTACATTTCCTGGTTCCACTTCTGATTTTTGCAGAGTGCCATATATACAGGGGTCTGTCCTGGGCCCCCCAACTAGTGTAGGAGTTGCTTCTCCCACCTGCTGTGAGCAAACTTCACCAAGTGATGCCCATTTAGAAAGGGAAGGAAGGGGTGGAGAGGTGGGGGGATTAGTCTGGACAATGCAGAGGACGAAGGAATGGTATCGGCTCCACAGTGTGCACTCAGGAGTACTTTGTTCTGGGCCCACCTCACACATACTAGGGTCTAAAAGGAAGGTGTGCAGAACACCCGGGTGCCAGAGCCATGACTGGACCAGAAAAAGGCATGCCTATGATGCATTTCATGTCCATTAGTAGGAGTGCCCCTGATCTCCCCCCTGAGCAGTCATAGGGCCAAGAAGGTCCCTGAAGTGGAGCCTGATTCTCTGAGGAGCAGAGTGCACCAAATTCACATCTTCATACATGTATTTTGTATAATAATGAGGGTCTTCTTTCACTATTCATGCTATTCCCCTTCTCCCTCCCTTTCCCTCCCACCCTTATTCCCTATCTAGAGGTAACCTTCCTCCCATGCTCTCCCTCCCTACCCCATTTTTTTTAAAAAAGGTCTAGGACCAGATTGGTTTCACAGCTGAATTCTAATAGATCTTTAAGGAAAAACTAGTGTGAATTCAACTCAAAATTACAAGAAATAGAGAGGTAACACTTACATACTCATCCTATGTAGTCAGTAAAACTCTGATACCAATCTGAAGTAGTTAGCTTTAAAGATGGTCTCAGCCAATTTATATCACCTAATAGTTTTTGAAAATCATTAAGGGTGTTCAGCTCTTTGACTCTTATTTGTGAGGTTTGAGGGTGGATTGTATGTCCTTCAATCACATGACCTAGATATTGAAAAGAGATGTCCTTTGTACCTTCTGGGGTGAAATGCACAAACCCATTGCTGTGAGTGAAGTCTGTTTGGGTAAAGATTTTTAGGAGTACATCTTGATTAGCATGAGCTAAACATATATCATCCATAAAGTGAATAATATATGCATCATGGAGTTTCTCCCTCACAAGCATGATGGCCTGTGCCACAAATTTTGACACAGAGTAGGGCTGTTACACATTCCCTAAGGCAACAATATCTTTTGACTAGTTCTTTAAAATTTATTGCCAGGACACTAAAGGCAAACCTTTTACAGTCCTCTGGGTGTAAAGGTATAGAAAAGAAACAATCTTTTAAATCTAGTACTATTAAATGATAACCCAAAGGAATAGCTGTAGAAGGAAGCCCTGGTTATAAGGCTTCTGTGGGCTCCTTAACACAATTAACTGCCTTGAGATCTTGTACTCATCTCCAGTGGCCAGATTTTTTTCTTGATTACAAAGATGGGTGTGTTCCAAGGACTGAGAATAGGTTGTGAATGGCCAGCCTGAAGTGGTTCCTGAACTAGCATGTGGGCTATTTCAAGTTGTTTCCTGTTAAGGGCCACTGACTAACCCAGATTGGCTCTTCTGTGAGCCAAGTATTTTTTTCTGCTCTTCTCTGGGTTGGGGATAAAGTCAGGGCCCCTACCAAAAATTCTGGCTGCATGTAGTAATAAAAATCTGTTGGGATGATTGGGTTATAGGGAAATCTTGTAAATTTCCCTCCATTTTTCTAGAAATAAACTTTTGATTAAATCCCTCAGATGACAGAATTTGGAGTTACTAATAACAAACCTAGGCTGCTTAGACTATCATGGCCCCACAAATTTACTGGCAAGGTATCTAAGACATAAGTCTTGAAAATCCCAGAGTTACCATCTTTATCTTCCCTGTGAAGATACTGAGCACTTTCTGCAGGCTGAGAGATCTGATCTATTCCCTCCAAGTTGGTGGGTGTGATAAAGCAGAAGTATTAGCTGTGTTAGTACATCTCTTGTAGAGAGCTGAGTGGCAGGGTCCAATTGTACAGTGATCCCAATCTCATCTCTAAAATTTGAATTAATTACTCCTGGCAGCACCTGAATTCCCTTAAGTTGTTTCACCCTAAAATTAGGCCTAAGGTATTTGGCAGTAATGGCCCACAAACCCCAGTGAGCTCTTGTTGTGGCCCCATTTCAGGCATTAGAGTTACTCCCAAGGTTGGCTGTAAGTGTACCCTCTCTGTGGAGCCAGCTGGTAGTAGTGACGAGCTGGCATGGCCAGCCCTGATGACTTTGGAGTCTGCAACTCCTCTTCAGGTGTACACTGCAGCATCCCTACTGTTTGGTGGTCCTGGGGCAGGCCCTGTTCCCGATTTCCCCGTGCTGAAGAAGGCAGAAGTGAGGTCAGAAGTGGCTGTGAGCTGCTGCCATATCTACTCAAATCTTCCCATGCTATGTGGTCATCTCTCTGGCAGCACTGTCTGCACAAACCAAGAGAGGTCTTGTTATGCTCGAGTTCAGGACCCCCAAAAGACCACCAGAGACCAAGATTGATGTTAGCAGCAAAGAGGCATTTATTGTGAGCTAGCTCATTCCCCTGTGCACACAGCAACTGGTGATGCTGAGAGGCCCTGATCCCAGGGTTTGCAGCAGTTTTATACAATCTTTGGGGAAGGCAGGGACTTCACATACATCATAGCAACTCTTAGCAAATCATCACACACTGCGGGAAAATCATACAACAACTCTAAAACATGATTAGCTCATTCACTGCCGGGAACAAGTTGGGTAGAGGTGATTGGTTAGTACAAGAGGAGGATTTGTTTGAACTGATTGGTTTAGGCTATGAGGGGTGTACGTGCTGAACTACATGGTTTCCCAATGTGTTATTAACCACCATAAACTACTGGGAGGGTCATCTGGCATCCCAGGTATTTTCCCTGTCTCATGCTGATTGGTGGTTGCCAGGGGGTTGCTATGGGTCCTCACCTAGCCTAACTGAGTCAGGGACACCTGGTGCAGCAGATATCCCCCTTTATTTGTAGATAAACAACTCAGCAGGGTGGTTATGTGCCTAGGAGCTCTCTGGATTTTTCCAAGGACAAGGGTCACGCCCCCTTCCTTGGACAGGCTTTGCTCTGAGGTAGAGGCTGGTTTCTCAAAAATGGTGTCATATCAGTTGCTCAGTCTCTGCCCTATTGTGCAGAGACCAGCAGTCCTGAGCCATAGGGCCAGTTCTACCACAACTGAAACACCACCTGGGAGAATGGCTCTCCCAGCCTGAAGTTGTAGCACCTGCTTCAGAGCCTAGGCAAGCATTAAGCCCTGTAGCTGTGTGGAACCTACATCATCACAAAGGCGAATGAACTCAGTCAGTCCCCTTTTCCCATTGGGGTCGGAGGATTTCCTGACAAACTTTATTAGAGTTTTTAAATGCTAGCTGCCTGACTAGGAATTCAGAGGCAGTCAAGTCTCCTATTGGTCTGTTTGCTGCCTGGTATAGACCTGCTGTGAAATCTGAAAATGGCTCCTGTGTCCCTGTTTGATTGAACTAAAATCCAAGGTTGATTGATCCTGATTAGGTAGCTCTCTCCACGCCCTTTTGGCACATGCAGTAATTTCATCATTGTTAGACCAGGATGCAAGAAAAGACCACTGACTCCAATTAAAATCAAATTAAAGCAAGCTTATTATTTCCACTGGCCGGGCTGCCTCTCCCTCCCAAAACGGCGGGAACCAGTCAGCCACCCCACCTTTCCTACAGCCCAGCTTTATAGCCCAGAAAGTTACACAAAGGGGGGTTAAAGATAACAAAACTCTGACAAGCATCACACTAATGGTAGTTTACATTTTTTGCTGGCCCCAACATCAGAATTTATGAGGAC